CTACATCAACTGGCCAATAGCCTGACTCGCAACGGAGTGCTGCTACATCGGCTGAGGGTTAGGTTTGGGCAGGCAGTCTATCAAATAATTAATAAAAAAAAATTTATTATGCTTAAAATAATGCATTGCAATAATTTTTTTTGGCGGATGTAGTTACATCCGAAAAAAATCATCTGGTTAAAATTATGCATTAAAAAAAAAAAAAAAAAATTGGATGTAGTTACATCCGAAAAATCTACAGATGTAATTGCACGGATGTTATTATACATCAATGAAATTTGGGATGTTGTTGCACGGATGTTAATATACATCGATGAAATTTCGGGTGTTGTTTCACGGATGTTATTATACATGATAAAAACGGATGTTATTGCTTGACCCGCCTAAAGTAGTTTTTATTTTTCACTTTTGGAAATACTTTAGGTTTTCTGAACCAAATATACTCAAAGGGTCTATAGCCTATTTTCCAATCTATATGCATTCTAATTTGAATTTTTTAACGCAATGTCAGTACCTGTCGCAGAAGATGAACGACCTTTAGGTAAACTAAAATTGATTTAAAAAATGATTGCGGGGCCAATGTAAAACAAAGGATTTTGGAATTGGATACCACTCTGTCGTAGAGTGACATATAAATAACAACAACAACAATAATAATAATAATAATATTTGCTAGAAAAAAAGCAATAAAATGAGTTTTCGATATTAATTTCAAAGGTTCAGCGTTATTTAATTCATATGACATTCAGATTTTCCTAAAAATATAGATGTAAGTTAACAGTATTGGAAACAAAACGTTATTACCTTGTAAAAATATGTATATTTATAGGGGTGCCTATTTGCTACTATGCTCCGGTCTCATAAAAGCATTTGACGGCCCTGATCATGTATGTGCAGTGCACATGCATGATCAGCGGCCATGATGATCGGGAAAATGCACATTGTGCTAACTAATCATCACTTTGTTTAAAAGTATTGCTTTTGAAAAGTACTATTTTCAAGATAAATATTTACAACCTTCTTTCAAAAAAATTGTATTAAAATACGTTACAAAATTTAAAGTTTATTTATTTAAGGCGTTAAATTATTTTCACCCACCTTTGAAATATCTAGCGCTTATATATATATATATATATATATATATATATATATATATATATATATATATATATATATATATATGTATATATATATATATATATATATATATATATATATATATATATATATATATATATATATCGGTTCCGTAAATCGCTATTTCCGCATACCTATATATATATGTATATATATATATATATATATATATATATATATATATATATATATATATATATATATATATATATATATATATATATATATATATATATATATATATATATATATATATATATATATATATATATATATATACTCATATAGTGTCGCTTTAAGAGCATTTTAATGTAAAAAAAGTCTCTTACGACTACAATTTTAATTACTCGTCTCTTAAGCTGTTTTTGATTGTCGTCGAAATGTCAAAGCAATTAATTTATGCGGAAGTACATTAAATTTAATTGTTTTTTAACAAATTTTTAAAAAACCGCAATTATAACGACTAGAAAGTTTTTTTTAATTAGTGGTGTTTTTGTTATTGATTTAATAAAAAACATTTTTTAAACATGCGTAAATGTTGCTACATCGACTATCTTATAGCTTGACTCGCAACGGAGTGCTGCTACATCGACTGACAAATAGCCTGACTCGCAACGGAGTGCTGCTACATCGACTGACAAATAGCCTGACTCGCAACGGAGTGCTGCTACATCGACTGACAAATAGCCTGACTCGCAAGGGAATGCTGCTACATCGACTGACAAATAGCCTGACTCGCAAGGGAGTGCTGCTACAACGACTGACAAATAGCCTGACTCGCAAGAGAGTGCTGCTACATCGACTGAGGGTTTGGTTTGGCCAGGCAGTCTATCAATTAAAAAAAAAAATTTAATTTTCAAAACTTTTTCTGGTCTGGTTTATTAACGCGCTCTTTAAAACTACAGTTTATAGGAAATATTTTTTGATGCTACGCAAGAGACATGCAAGACTATATATATATATATATATATATATATATATATATATATATATATATATATATATATATATATATATATATATATATATATATATATATATATATATATATATATATATATATATATATATATATATATATATATATATATATATATATATATATATATATATATATATATATATATATATATATATATATATATATATATATATATATATATATATATATATATATATGTATATATATATATATATATAGGTATGCGGAAATAGCGATTTACGGAACCGATTTTTATGCTAGAATATTGGTTCTCGATTTTTTAACTCTTTTTTAGGCAGCATGAGGCAGATGTAATTTTATGGAGTTTTTTTTTAGAAACAGATATGCACATATATACTTTTTTGAAAGAAAAAAAGTTAATCTTGATTTATATATGACATTTATGTATGGCTACTGTAAAGAATAACCATATTAATTATGTTGGCTCAAAAGAGCTATAATTATACTAGTCTATAACAAAATAACACGATACATAAAGTATATAGAATATCATACAAAACATATATATTTATATATATTCTCCATATTTCATATTATCATAACATTCACCCTCCTCCTAGTGTTCAGGTGTATTTATAAGTTGAGTTTTTCTGGTGCTTTAGAAATTCGTGAAGATCTACGAGGAGGCAGAGTACTTTGCTCTATAGGATTCCCTCTGCTTTCTAGTTCCTTATCGGAGACTAACGGAGTTTCATTGCTACCATTAGGGGTTAAGGGGTAGTTATCAATAGCTGTTATTTCTAAATTGTCATTTGATGTTTGTACTATAGGAGTTGTTCCGATAGGAGCCAGCTGTTTTGTAGACACTGTAGTCTCATGACCAGGAGATCTCACAATGGCATAATGAGGATTTGCTTCAATGAGCTGAGCCTCATTTACTGAATCTTCATATTTACTTTGCATTGCATTTCTTTTTATAAGTACAGGTCCAGGGTTAACAAGTCATGAAGGAATTGAAGACCCAGATAATGGTCTTCTTTGAAAATTAAAAAAACGTTCATGTGGACTACAATTAGTAGAAGTACATAATAGAGATCTTGTAGCATGAAGTGCATCAGGCAAAACTCTTTTCCATGATGATATAGGCAGATTTCAAGATTTCAGAGTAAGTAATATCGCCTTCCAAATAATTCCATTGTATCTTTCCACTTGCCCATTTCCAGTCGGATTGTAAGGGGTTGTTCTACTAGTTGCGATCCCTTTTGATAAGAACCAGTGCTTTAATTCAGAAGACATTAATGAGGATCCACGATCCGAATGAACATAGCTAGGCATACCAAACATTGAAAAAAGATCAGCTAAACAGTTTATTATTGTCTGAGTTGTCATATCTTTCACAGGATAAGCAAATGGAAAACGTGAGTATTCGTCTACAATTGTTAGCATATACTGTTCAGGGGTTGAAGAAGGTAATGGGCCTTTGAAGTCAATAGATATACGTTCGAATGGCTGAGTCGCCTTAATCAGGTGCGCGGTAGTACTTGGGTTTTATTTCTCTACATATTCTACAATCCCTACATATTTGTTTTACATCTTCTACTGAATAAGGGAGGTTTCTTGATCGAATAAAATGATGGAAGCGAGTAACACCAGGATGGCAAAGTGCAGCATGCAAATTATATAAAGATTCTGAACTTATTGCTGCACATTTAACTCGAGTAAATGTATCTGGACCACTATTACATTGGCCAGGACGATAATGGATATCATAAGAATATGGAGACAAAGCTATTCTCCAACGCATTATTTTATTATTCTTTATTTTACTGCTTGATTTATAATCATACATATATGCCACAGATCATTGGTCAGTGATGAGAATGAAATGTCGACCCAAAAGAAAATGACGCCAATGATTTATGGCTTCAACTATCGCTTGAGCTTCTTTCTCCACTGATGAACAGTATTGTTCACTCCCTTGAAGGGTACGTGAATGGAAGGCAACAGGTCTTCCATCCTGATTAAGTGTGGCGGATATGGCAAAATCAGAAGCAGTGGTTTGCATGGAAGATTGAACAAGTTCATTTTTTAATGTTTCAAATGCTGATATTTGCTGCTGATTGAGTGGAAATTGAGTAACAGAGTTTAAAGGTCTAATTTTATCTGAAAACTTTCTTATCCATTTTGCATAGTACGAAAACATTCCAATAATTCGCTGTAAAGACTTTGCATTATCAGGTGGGGGTAACTTGATGAGAGGAGCAAGTCTCTGAGGATCTGGTTTTAAATAGCCATACGATATACGGTAACCTAAAAAATCTAAAGTCTTAGTTGAAAATACACACTTCTTTTCATTAAATGTAATTCCAGCATCAATGGCAGCTAATCTGAACTTAAGTAGATTTTCATCATGTTCTTTCTGACTATTACCGCATATTGTAATGTTATCATTGAAAGGAAAGCAGTCAGTTAGTTTATATTTTCTAACAAAGTCATCTATTTTGCGTTGAAAGCATGCAGATCCATTGGTAACTCCAAAAGGCATTCTAGTATATTGCCACAACTTATTGTCAGCTTCAAAAGCAGTATATGGTCGATCTTTTTTTGATAAAGGGATTTGGTAGTATGCTGAGCGAAGGTCGAGAGTACTATAAATTTTGTATTTAGAGATTATATTCACAATCGATTCAATCTTAGGTAGAGGATATGCATCTAATTGAGTATATTTATTAATAGTTTCAGAGTAATCAACAACCATGCGACGTTTAGTCTTTTCATTTACTACTAAGACCTGGGCACGCCAAGGTGAATTACTAGGCTCTATTATTGCTGCTTGAGTCAGGCGATGGATTTCAGATTTAATAAATTCTTTATCTCTTTGAGAATAATTTCTAGATCTAGTGGCAATCGGTTGACAATCTTACATGAGATTAGCAAATAATTCAGGAGGTTCAGTTTTCATTGTTATTAAAGCAGCAAATGTTATGGGTGGTCTTTTCCCACCATACTTGATGGTAATACTTTCATGCAACTCTTGAAAATCTGTGCCAAAGATAACAACTACACATAAGTTATCCAGCACATGCAACTTGACTTTGTTATAGATTTTGTTTTGAAGAGTTATTGAGACATAACAATATCCATCTGATTTTGCAGATAAGGCAGCTGATGCCATTCCAATTACACTCTGTTCATAAATAATATTTAAATGGAGTAGAGTCACTAGTTTGTTGCTTATAAAACTTTTGTTTGTACTTCCACTATCAATTAATGCTTCTGCTTTATATCTATCATTAATAATGATGTTATGACAAACTCTGAATAAAGAGTTTGCTGAAGCTGATATGGTGGCACAGAAGTAATCATCATCAATTTTAGGAATAGCAGCAGAAACATTAGATGATCTGCAAAGTTTTTCAAAATGACCAATCTTTTTACATTTGTGACAGATTTATTTTCATTTAGTACGTGGATGTCTTATGTTTCCACAAAACCAGCACAATTGTTTTGATTTTGCTGTAGCAGCTAAGTGATTATCAGTCATGGACTGTTTTTGTAAAGGTGATTTGATTTCCTGAATAGAGGCAGAGGTAGGTATAGTCAATTGTGAGTATAAGTTTGAGTTTTGTTGGGCCACGTCTAAAGATCTGGCTTGGTCAAAGGCTGATGAAAGGTCTAATATTTTATTTTCTAGTAAACGTTGGCGTATACTATTGGAGAGTAAGCCATTTATAAACGCATCGCGAATCATTTCAGATTTATATTGCTCAGCTGTAACAGCAGTGAACTTACAGTCCTTAGATAAATTTTTAAGTTCATTGAGGAATTGATCTATTGTTTCACTTGGTTTTTGCTTTCGTGTTGACAAAATGTGTCTGGCAAATATTTCATTCTTTGGTTTTATGTAGATAGACTCGAGAATACTTGTTGCTTGTTCAAAATCATCACACTCTGATATGAATTCATATACATTAGGTTCAATATGGTTTATTAGGAGATTAAGCTTAATGAAGTTATTACAAAATTGTTAAATGTTCTTAACCAATGATTGTATGTTTTTGCTGCATCTGCTGAGTTTGGATCTATACCAAGTCTGTCAGGTTTCATGAATCGATCCATCTTTCTTTTATTTCATAATAATATTCTAGCTCTTTTGATTGTAAAGAATAGCCATATTAATTATGTTGGCTCAAAAGAGCTATAATTATACTAGTCTATAACAAAATAACACAATACATAAAGTATATAGAATATCATACAAAACATATATATTTATATATATTCTCCATATTTCATATTATCATAACAGCTACTTAACATTTTTGTGGATTATTTTGCTCCTGAAAATATGGTTGATGTTCTTACATGAATATTTAGTTGTGGAAATGTTGATTCCCCTTATTTTATATTTAGACAATTTTCTACATGCATTTTCTATGCACATGCCAGGTAAGCTTAAAAATATTTTTATTGCATCCTTCAAAAAACCTGTTCATATATGTATGTATTTTGTATTAATTGCAACATTTATTTTTTATTACACTTTTTTTAACTTAGTTCCATCTACATCTGGTATAATTGGTATGTTTACAAACTTTTACTTTTCAATATGTTAATGCATTTCTTGGCATTTCTTCACAATATTTATTTTTATTTCAACTTTGTTAACCTTTAGTTACATTTTCAGCTGCTACAAGTGGTAAGTTTATAAACTATTATTTTTTAATATGTGTATGCATAACATATATGTGTAAAAGTATTGTTTCTAATATGTGTATGCCTATCTTATCGATTGCAAATAAATTTTACCTTTAGAAATGTTTCTAAATGATAAATGATTTAGAAATGTTTCTAAATGATTAATTCATAATATATTTATTTATATTCACTAATTAATACATTTGTATTATGTTATCCTTCAAAGTGATCCTTCAAAATTTTTACTTTAGTTAAAATTTTTCAAGCTATCATTGATTTATTATTATTACAAATAATTGGTTTATATTAAATGTTATGTAATGCCATTCAATACTAATGTAGTAACAATTTATTGTCATTTAGAGCTTACCTATCATGCCTATAGAAGATATAGGCACCAGCACCCTGAACGGATTAGCAATCGGTCATTTTTGTGATGGGTCTGGTTAGGAGGGAATGATGGTGAATCATTCAGCTAAGCCTATCATCCTCCTAATAGGGTTGCTGGGAGCTACAGCAGAAGAGGAAGCCGTGGAGGAGGTCGTGGGGAAAGGTGGAATGGTTCCGACTTTGTCGTGAATGGTGGCATACACTATTACTAGGTGCCACTATTTCTGTTTTATGTTTTTTTAAATAAATATATAACATTATCAAGTTTGTTTTCCATTTGGTTACAATTTTTAAAATTGTTAATATTTGAATTATTTATTTTAAATTTTTACACAAAATAATTTAAAAACGAAGCATTGACATTTGTAATAGTTTGCAAGGAAAATATTTTGTATGTTTTCAATGTGATTAAAAGTTGCAGTGTAAAAAGTATTAAAGTTGTAACTATAAATAGTTATAGACTTTTAAATGCATTTAGGATTTTTTTAGGATTTCATAGCCCATATTAAATGTTTTAAATTTATGTGTAATATTTTTTGAGTTGATTAATGTAAAATATCTTTTGCATACTTAATTACTATTTTTTTTTTTGTTTAGTTTATTTACTGTTTGTTTGAGTTAAGTAATATTATTTGATTTTAAACCAGTTTAATTATTTAATTTTAAACCAGTTTAACTTGTTTACAGTTTCTAAATATAATATTTATGTAACCATTACTTGTTTGTAGAAGATATGTTTGTAGAGATTTTTTAAGTCTATATTATTTAATACTTTTTTTTACATGTTGTATTATTATGTTGTTAATTGTTAACAAATTATTATATATTATTTTTTTACTTTTCAAAAAATTTAATTAAAACTATGGTATATTAACTCTTTATATATATTTTTTTAAAGGATTTATGGGTCAAAAAAAAAGAGGAAATTTCAGATGCACTGAAAAAAGTGTTTTTTTTTTAGGTTGGAGAGGACTAGGGGGAGGGGGAGAGAATGTTGTGCGGTGCACACATCCCACCCATAAAATCAATTTATACAACACTTTTAAATGCTGTAAAGTAAGAAAATACAATTTAAACTTTTTAACACATAATATAATCAGTGTTATTTAGGTTAAAGTATTTATAAGAATGGAACATTTCACTACGAGGGTGTTAAAACGTAACAAAGACATCGACCTTTTATTCTAAAATAGAATACTAATATTTGGAAATGGAATGAAAGCAAATTAGAACAACTTTAAAGATGTGTATAAAGATGACATATTTTATCAGAAAAACACTCTTTCGTGTGAAAAATTTATATTTTTTTAAGGTTACGAGGGTGTTCCGGTACCACCTCCAGCCCTCTAGACACCTCTTTTATCTATAGAGTTATATGAACTTGTAGCCTACTCTTACATTTATCTTTTGATACCAAGGTATAGACATTTGGATAAGATTTGACAAACTATTTCAGTTAAAAAAAAAAAGATTTCGGAACTAGTTTCTTCAATAAATCTATATATCGAAAATTTGCTACTAAAAACGCTATAACTTTTTATAGAATTGTCTGATTTTCATAATTTTTTCACTGTTAAAATACTGTATTTGAGGGCTTTCTAATGATATATTCTAGTATTTAATAAAAATCAGTCCTTGTACCTAATATATATATATATATATATATATATATATATATATATATATATATATATATATATATATATATATATATATATATATATATATATATATATATTAGGGTGGTCCATAAAACAACTTTTTTGAGAAAAACCTGCTGGCACCCCCTAAATGTGTTTTATCTAATGCAAAAACACTAGGTTTAAAATTTTTTTGAACAAAAATTATTTTTAGGGGTAGCTCAAGGCCCTCAAAAATTTGACGGGTCCCTAATATTTTGAAAAAAAAACTTTTTCTAAAGTATGTCAACCTGGTACTCAAAATAAGCAAAATTATATAAAAAATTTAAAAATGAAAATAATTTTTTATAAAAATAATTTTTTTAGGTATAAATGCATAAAAACTATTGTTTTTAAGCTGAAAATAAAAAAAGTCAATATTTTCAGGTTTTTTGAGAATAATTTTTTTTAGGCATGTTTTTTATGTAAAATGATTATTATTTTTGAAGTTTTTATACAATATCGCTTCTTTTGAGTACCAGGTTGACATACTTTAGAAAAAGTTTTTTTTTCAAAATATTAGGGACCCGTCAAATTTTTGAGGGCCTTGAGCTACCCCTAAAAATAATTTTTGTTCAAAAAAATTTTAAACCTAGTGTTTTTGTATTAGATAAAACACATTTAGGGGGTGCCAGCAGGTTTTTCTCAAAAAAGTTGTTTTATGGACCACCCTAATATATATATATATATATATATATATATATATATATATATATATATATATATATATATATATATATATATATATGTGTGTGTGTGTATATGTGTGTCGTAACGATTCTAAACTTTTCTACAATTAATTTTCTCATATCAAAAGTTGCGCATATTGCTATTTCATTCGAAACATTTACATTTTTCGAATGAAATAGCTATATATTTCATTCAAACCATTTACATGTTTCGAATGAAAGAATTTCACTCTGCTTTTATGTTGAGTATGTGTTGCCTAATTTGACGTCTTTGATAACTAGTTCAGTTTTAACATTATCATCGTTTGATAATTTATTAATTATTTCTAGTTGAATGTTGTCATTTTTTAGGGTTTTCTCTTTGTGTAATGACAAACTTGTAAGGTTATACTTTTTTTTCAATACAACTTCATTTATCAATTATATCATTAATGTTAACAATAATATCAACAATAATTCAATACAGTAAGTCTGTAATGTAAATACTTTACAATGGCATACTTTACAATTACTTTTATAATGTCATATATTGTAGTAAATGTTTGAGTTTTTGTAACAATATCTTTATGTTTTTAAAAACAATGTTGAAAAGTGTCAAATCAATCCTAACACTAATGGTAAACAATATATTGGTGTATTTGATGAAAATGACATGGTAACACCAGAAAATAGTAAAAAGTTTTTAAAACTAACTATAAGTAATCTTGCTGCTAAGCAAAAGACAATTAAAATGCTTCAGCAATCCAACTGTTGTTTAATAAAAAGGATTAAAGACTTACATTCATTCCTTCGTCATTTTAAATCAAAAAGTATGAATCATATGATGAATCAAAATCATGAATCATACTATGGTTTCTGAAGAAGTATCAACTACACTAATGGTATAATATATATTTTTATTAAGAGTAGTTGTTAAACATATTTATATTTGTGACTTTTTATTTTGTTTGTCTATTTAATTATTTTAAATATTTGTTACTTATTTAAGTTATACCTTTAGGATTATTTTGTTTTAGTCAACCTACTGTTGAAATATGGTTTTAAAATAGTAAGTTTTTAAAAACTTACTACATTAATCATCAGATAACAGTAAGGAAAAATTTTAGTTCATCACAATTACAGTAGAAATTAATCATTGTATTTGTCGTAACAGTAATATTTGTTGTTATGATTGTAATGCTTTTGTAATAATTTCATCTATTTCTTGATATCCCAATCAATAATGCCCTACTTTACTTGATTGGGTTTTCAAGTATAAATATGATGTTGTAACTAAAATGTATTTGTTTAATCTATTTAAATTTAGGGAGCTATGTCTGAGTCTACAAAACAGTTATTTTGTCGGGTTTTACAAGAAAAGTAAAAAAGCATTACCCACCAGAATTATGAAGCTTTACTTAAGCACATAATTGTTTCTTGGCCTTGACCTTGCCTTATGGCCAAATATTAGAGCCTTGGCCAAAGTCTTGAAACAGTTGGTCTTGGTCTTGGTCATGGCCTTGGCCTTGATTATTTTGGCCTTAGCCTTCAAAAAAAGTACATAAAATTGAAGAATTAAAAGATTTCAGTCTTAATTTTTATGTATTTTTGTTTTCGGCTTCTTACATATCTACAACCCAGTTAATCAACCCAACTGGGTCCCAGCTGGGATTGACTAGGATTGAACTGGGATTACTAGGATTGGGTTTGGGCTGGGATTTGTTCTGGGTGCCAGATGGGTGCAATATGGTGTAAAAATAATGCTGCAAATAAAATCTGGGTATTTACTGGGATTGGCATGGGGCTTCCATAAATGGTTTACGACTGGTTTGAAGATGGGAGGCGTTGTTTAATGGTAGCGTGTATTTTCTCATCAAAGCAGTTTTTTTAGCATCGTTTTTATTGAAAAGTTTTGTTGAAATAATATTACAAAACTCTTTTAAAATGTCATATGCAGTAATGCGTCTTGATTTAGATTTAATATACACTTGCATTTAGAGTAAATATCCACAGGAACTTCATTTGGTTTTTTTATTGTATTTTTGTAAAAAAATATTTCCATATCAGTTTTAATTCTATACTAAAAGTGTAAATATGGTAAATCAATATTTCACACACCAAAAAAAAAGAAAATATGACATGCTCTCAAGTTTCTCAAAAGCCTTGCATTTAAAAAATTTGAGAAAAGAAATTTTATACTAATATTCAGACTGAATTTCTGAGCTGTTTACTTTTTTTTAGAATTGTTAAATTTTTTATTGAACTGAAGGCATATTCTGAAATTATGCAATGAACAAATGTTGAAAATTTTTTTAAAATAGTTTATATGGTTTAGTGTGCTTACAGTAATGGCATAGTGTGTTTAGTTTTAATTTTTTTTTCAAACAAATCTCATAGACTTTTTGAAAAGCCTTTGAATTTGCTATGTTTTGTAAAATGACTTTGGCAAATTTTTTTTACAAAACATAGCAAAGTTTTATTATGTAGCACTGCAGTATGTAAACTTTACATATTATTCGTTTTCACATAAATCATTTGATAAATGGTTTATGTATTTATAAATAATAAGTTTTACATACTTGTGTAAGATTTTACATATTTTATAAGTAATATAATTAATATATTTCTCATAGTATAAGTAATATATTATCAATTATATAACTTATAGAAAATATTAAATCTTACATTTATTTTATTCATTTACAAATGATATCTAAATTTTTATATCAATCAATCAATCAATATATATTTCTGAAATATTTGGTATTACATTTCAAGGTTGTTTACAAATAGTACAAACTACTAATATTATGTAAACACCTAATGATAATGATTAAAATGATAATAATAATAAAAATAATATTCATAATAATAATAATAATACCATGTTATTTTAACAATAGTAATAATAATATAGTAATTTAAATAATTTAAATAAATCAGTATAATTTTCCATACAACAATCGTTTTTACATACAAAGTTACAGTTACAAACAGTAATAAACTGACAAAACGTAACAACTAACGATGACATAAAAACAACGACTGTTAAAAAAAATTATAAAGATTTAGTAAATATATTTATAATTTTTAAAAAAAATTATAAGATTTAGTAAATATATTTATAAATGTCACTTAGTAAAACTTACTAATAGTAATATTATCACTTGACAAAGCATAGTAATACTATGTTTTGTAAAGTGATAAGTTATTTAATAAATATATAAAATAAGGTTTTATATGAAAAATATTTAAATAATTTATATTGCGTATTGTTTGCAAATAAAAGTAATTAATAATAAAAATAATAAACTGCCCAGTTAACCACGACAACTGGGTCCTAGCTGGGATGTAACTCGATTATTGGAACTGAGTTATGGCTGGGATTCGAACTGGGTAAAAGATGGGTCCCATATAGTGCAACGATTGCTGCAAAAATTTTGCTTGAAAATATGATAAAATCTTTTAAAATGACATACGCAGTAAAGCAGATTGATTTGGATTGAATATACACTTGCATTTGGAGTGAACAGGAACTTAATTTGGTTAATTTTTAGTATTTGTGCAAAAAAAATAATTATTTACATATCAGTTTAATTCAAAAAAATGTGGCATACTCTTAAACTGCTCCAAATTTCACAGCCATTGATAAGTTTGAGAGTATGTCAATGTTTACTTTTTTACAGACTTGTTTAACGTTTTATCAAACTGAATGCATAATTTTTATTTTTTTATGTTATAGACAAATATTGAAAATTTTTCAAATTAGTTTATATGGTTTGGTGTGCCTACAGTTATGGCTTAGTCACTAAGTTACGAAAACGAAATACACTAAGTTAGTGTGTTTTGTTTTAATTTTTCTTTTTCAAGCAAATCTCAATGTCACTTAACAAAATATGGTAAGGTTTTACTAAGTAACACTGCCATATCTAAACTTTCATATTATTTATAAATACATAAATGTTTTACTTTTTCTATAAGTTATATAGTTAATATATTACTTATATTATAAATAGTGTAACTGATATTATAAGTTATAATATAAGGTTTTATATGAAAAAATGTTTAAATTATTTATATTGTAAATTATTTGTAAATAATAGTAAGTAATGACAAAAATTATTTGGTGTTTTAACGTTTAACTTTATTTGTCTGTAATAATAAAATAATTATCACATTTTGTTTGAACATATTAATTTACATAATTAAATACATTTTTAAAATTCTTTAAAATATAAAAGTGTATATATTTTGATAGCAATATTCAGACATGTGTTTAAGAAACAATTTGGCTGGCCAAAAGAAGGAAATGTTGAGTTTTAAGGTTTTAAGATGTTTTTTTATTAATTTTCACAGGATGTTATAATTTTTTTAGAATATGTTGTAAAATAAAATAAATATACAATCATAAAATGCTACTTAACTAATTGAAAATGTAGTTTTGATACTAATTATTGCAAAAACTGAATGTTTTGTATTTTTCACTTGCTCTAGTAAGTCAATTTCATTGTGTTATTATATGATATCATATATTCACATATAATATGTTTATTTACAATATAAAAAAGATATCAATTTTTTTTGGTAATACATTTTTGTATTTATGTTATTTTTGTACTTTTTAACTTTATTAAATTTATTTAATAGGTTCAATAGTATCTATGTTTTGTTTTTAGAGTTAGTTTGTGTTGATTTATGATTAACAACAGAAAATACATTACTTCAACAAATTTTAGTTTTTTACACATAAAAGTTATGAAAAATATGAAATGATTTATCTAAATCTAGTAAGTTTACACTTAATCTGACAACATTATTTTGAATATTTTTGTTTCAGAAAGTTTATGAAAGTTTTACTTTCTCCGAGTTTTAATATCTCAAATATAAGTTTACAGAATTTGATAAAATAAATCAAATAATTTCTGCATATTAAAAATATATAGAATTTGCAAAATGTACAGGTTTTTTCTATTATTGACCTGGGTTTCTGTAAATGGATAAGTTCTAAGTTATTTATGTATAATGATTTTTTAAACCAATTAATTAAGGTGATGGATATTTTTTAGAATCTGCTGTGAAATAAATTTAATATATAATCAGGAAATGTAGCTCTAAGACAACATGAAATTCAACAATAAATTTTGGTCCATGATAATTGAAATACGTTATGTTTGACTAATCATGAATATAACTATTATATATATTAATGTAAGTACTCTATGCTTGTTTATAATTGTAAATTTTCATTGCGAAAATAATTTTAATACAAAATTTATTGTGTTCAAAACTACAATTGTTTAAATTTTTTTTCAATGTATTAAACTGTAGCAAATAATTATTTTCAAGAAATAATATAACCTAAAATGATCATCATTTAATTAGGTGGAGAGGTTATGGCCATCACTCTTGACATTTCTAAAGCGTTTGATAAAGTTTGGCATGCTGTACTTCTTCATAAGCTTTCTTCTCTGGTACCATCTTTAAGATTATTGAATCCTTTCTAACCAATCTTAGTATAAAAGTTGTCTTCGATGGACAGCACTCTTCTTCATATCCTGTAACTTCAGGTGTTCCTCAAGGTTCTATCCTTGGCCCTAGACTCTTTTTAATTTACATTAATAATCTTTCAGATATTTTCACATCTAAGGTGGCTTTGTTCGCTGATGATACTACTATTTATTCTTGTCTTGATAAGAAGCCAAAAATTTCTGATTGCTGAAAGGGGGTATTTGAGCTTGAAAAGGATCTCACTTCTGCTACAGCATGGGGCTCACAGTGGCTGGTGAATTTTAATTCAGATAAAACTCAATTTTTTTCAGCCAATCGTTATAATTTAGACCTTCCTATATTTATGAATGGTAATGTACTTGATGAGTCATCTACCCTTCATCTTCTAGGATTAACTCTTCTTATCTCTCTTGGAAACCATATATCAAATCCCTTGCAAAATTAGCATCTGCTAAAGTTGCATCTCTTTATCGAGCTCGACACTTTCTTACTCTGGATTCTATTCTCTATCTCTATAAATTTCAAATCAGGCCTTGTATGGAATACTGTTGCCATATCTGGGGCAGATCTTCTAATGATGCTCTTTCTCTTTTAGACAAGGTGCAAAAACGCATTGTAAACATAGTTGGACCTGCTCTTGCAGCCAACCTTCAACCTTTATCACATCGTCGTAATGTTGCTTCTCTTTCTCTTTTCTTCAAATACTATAATGGGTACTGCTCCAAAGAGCTAGCGTCTCTTGTGCCATCTACTAAATCCATTCTCGTATTACTCGTCGTTCAATTAAGTCTCATTCTTTTTCTTTTACTTTTCCAAAGTGCTCCAAAAACTCTTATTCGTCTAGTTTTTTTCCTCAAACATCAGTTCTTAGGAATTCGCTTCCTTCATCTTCCTTTCCAGATTCATATAATTTCATCAATCTTTTACGTCGTCTGTTAATCGGTATCTTGCTCTACAATCTTCATCTTCTCTCTTCCAGAAACTTCCAACACTAACTAGTGGTTGCTTGTAGCCTTGTTGGAAGCGAAGATGTTTTTTTTTTTTAAAAAAAAAAAAAAGATACAATCTTAATGTTAGTGATATTGATTATTTTTGTATTTATTAAATTATATAAATGATATTAAACCCTCACCAACTGATTTAAGAGTTTGATGTCAAGTTAACTTGAGTCAAGACTTAAAATTTTTAATGCTAACATATTAGTCATGTTATATTATTGTTTTTTACAAGTCTATTTATGTCATACCTAATTAATAACATCAAACATTTACCGTGAAATAACATTGTTTTAGATTCCCTGCAAGATGCCTGTTAAAAAGAAAAACTGAAGAAACTTCAAAACTAGATGATGGCAACTGAAGAAGCCTCTACTTCAATCTGGCTATTGTTATAACACGTATATCGGTTTAATACTGTATCGAGTTAGCTTGTGATTTGTACGTGTGTTTTTATTTGCCTAGTTTTGTTAGTTATATGCAAGATATGACATGGTATGGCACACTGCATGGTATGCCCAAAATAATATTATCAATAAATATTTTTATCTATACTTTGTAAATATGTATGCTATAAATTATTATATTATTTAAATGTTTATTTTTAATTTATAAAATTAGTGTAAAAGTGGATGAAAGCACTAAAGAAGCGTAACGATAAACTTTATGGTGGCGATATGAGAGAACTAATGTGGCAGTGGTTATGGTGGTGATATGAGAAAACTAATGTGGCAGTATATTACTATCGTAGAACAGTTTTGCATCAAATCATTGAATAATATTAGTTTTTGCTTTGCTTTTTTTTTTTTAAGTTGCTTAAAATATTATGAAATTCAAATATGTTTTTTCAATTGATTCGTAAAAATAATGTCAGACCAAATATTCATTTGCCTTATTCATTTTATTGCCCTGACAGCGAATTTAATATAGATAAACCTTTACTTTTTAATTTTATATAAAAAATGCGATGCCTTTTAATTAAAAAATTGTCACATTATTTGGCAGATTTGAGATACAAAAACTCTGCGAAAAATAAACTATAAAAAATGAGAAAACCCGCGGTAAATGAAAAAAAATATCTGGGCTCAATATGTGATTTACCGTCAAAAACCCAGACTAATCCCAGATGGGACGCAGTTGAATCCCACTGACAGAATTGCAATGGGACCCATGTGGGAAACCCATAATGGTCCCATCATTTTCCCCAGTTAGGTCCCACCCGGGACCCAGTTGGAATGATTAACTGGGAAGTATGTTTTCTTATTGACTTTGTAGAGTTTTGCGCATAACCCTACAGTTTTGTTAATAATTGATCTTAATGTTAGGCAAAAATTCAAGTCTTTGGGCTTGAAAATGTATGGGTAGGCATTGGCCTTGAAACTCTTTTTCTTGGCCTTGACCTTAAAACTCTTGGCCTTGAACTTGTAACTTTTGGCATTGGTCTTAGCCTTAGCCTTGTAACATGCGGCCTTGCCCTTGTCTTTAGCCATGCTACTTTTGGCCTTGTTAACATCCTTGCCTTAACGTTAAATTTTTATTTTGCTAAAGCATATAGTTATGTAAGGAAAACATTTAACAATGCACTTCTTCATCCAGTAATTATACAAAAATGGTGTGAAAGTGTTGACTGTTCCCCTGGATTTTGTAAAGAAGCTTTAGTTACTCTTCATAGCAAAGTAAAAGAGGCTCAGAAAATTGGTCAACGTGTTGTGTGTTCATTTATGTTAGATGAAATGACCATTTGAAAAAAAATTGAATGGACAGGCCATAAAATTTCTGGTTATATTGATTTCGTGCTGATATCAATAATGATAGCTCACCCAAAACAAAAGAAGCTTTATTTTTTTTGGTAAACTGTGTAAATGGACGTTGAAAACTTCCTGTTGTATTTTTTTTAATTGATGGTTTAGGTGGTTGTGAAATAGCTAATACTGTTAAGCGTTGTCTGCAATTTATTTATTTATTTATTTAGCAGCCATGACGCAGTGGTAGCGCACTTGCCTCAGAAAAGATCCCTGGTTCAAACCCTACCTCTAGGCAAGTTTTGCGACATCGCGATGTCGCAAAACTTCTCGACCGATGCATCGGTTGGGAAGGAGGCGTGAACTTCCTATTAAATGCTCTTCCGCGCTGCTCTGATATAAGACCGTAAGGACTTCTTGGGGCACCTTAATCAACTTAAAAAAAAAAAAAAAGTTTATAAAATTGGTGCAGAAATTATAAAATTATTATTGCCAAATATTTAAAGTTAAGATTGCACCACAAAGCTGACTCGATCAACGATTTACTACATAATAAACGTATATAAAGTGTATTAACAAAGCAAATTTTTCAATAAAAGGTTTATTTGTATATTAATGTAATGGATAATAAAACACATAAAATTGTATTAACTGTAACGTTTTCTATTCTAAGAAATCTAAAAATGCATTAAAATAATAATTGATACAAATTATAAATATAAAAATATTTTAAAAAATAATAATAATAAGGTTTACTACAAAATTTTACATTTAACAAAAAGTTTTCTATTCTAAAAGTTAATTTCGTTTGTATCGCTTTTTGTTTTGCCCAAACGTGACGTCATGCGCTAAAAGATGTTGGCTTCAAAATATTTAATTTACGGCGTCTAACAGTTAATATGGTCGAACAAAATCTCAGACTACGCCACACAGTGACTCAAAACAACAAAAAAATGGCAATAAACCCCTCACCACTTTATTATAAATCAAGTGCCGTTTGTTAGATAATATTAAAAGACAATGATTTTTTTCAAAAGTAAAAATAATTTTTTCATAAAGCTTTTATTTTGTATTTTATAGGTAAAAGAAGTGAAAAAATTTGATATTATATTTAAAGAAATCTGAAAAATGTGCAGTTTTTATTCAACTAAATTAGAGAACTTGAAATTTAAATAAAACTGTATATTTATTTTTAAAATAATACTTTGATTCTATATATTTCAAATATACTAAAAAGAAAAAAAAAGTCTGATTTTTTCGTTTAAATTTAAAGACTTCTCTAAAAAAAAGTAGAAAATAATTGTATTTTTTTTGTTTATATATCAGCTAAAAAAATGTTCCACCAAGTTCCACAAATATATACCCAGCAGGCACACAACGTTGAATTAACGTTTTATTTACGTTAGATTTTATGTTAGTATAACGTTGCCGGTTCGGCAAAATGGAAAGGTTTTGTAACGTAAAATTCTTACGTTGGATTTACGTTGGCTATTAGCGTTATATTAACGTAAAATTTTAAAGTTAGATTAACGTTATACTAATGTAAATACAAGTTGGAAAAACATTGGCGTTTTATTTTAACGTAAAATAATGATTGTAATTGTGTAATATTAAATGTTAATATAGCTTTTGTTATTTTCATATAACCCTGAGCCAAAGCCCTTTATACGCAGCTTTGTGTCATGGTTATTATATGAATATAACCGTATATATTAACATTAAATGTTAAACACAATTACAATCAATATTCAAAGTTAATATAAAAAGTTTTTAACCCCTTACAAAGGGTTAGAAAAATAGTTTTAGGGATATTCAAACTAAAAATACAATAAATGTTTTGAAAAATTTTTTTTAAAGATGTATTATATATTCTTTTGTATTATAAATTTACAAAAAAACTCAAAAATAAATAATTGTTTAATGGAGAGAACTTTAAAATGCTTCTTATTTGATTTTTTGTTTGCTTCCGTCGAACTCTCGTGCGTTAGCTGGATGACTTCTAAAATACAACATGGGATACTGTAAACGTGATAACAGTTAGAAATTTATTTTTGTTTATAATTGACTATTTGTTTGATTTTTAACGCTGACATTCAAGGTTCAAAACTTATATATATCTAAGAATAAAAAACATATGTAAGGAACAAGAGATAGATAGAACAATATTGAGCTATTATTAATGTACCAAAATTATTGCTTTACACTACTTTTTATTTTCGAATGATACCTTTTTTTTATCACCACGAATTTTGCTTTTCATATTAAACTTGGGCTTAACATGATGCTCCATAATTCTATAACAACGTAATAACAAATAATAAATGGAAAATAACTACTTTGTTATATTACATTAAGTGATCCAGCGAACTTTTTTAAATAACTAAATACACATTAGAGTAATAATTCACAAAGTATAATTTGGAAAGATTCTTTATTTTTTTATAAACTTATAAATTCAAAGTTTCGACATTGAATTAAAGGTGAAACCTGTAGGGGAGAACCTAAATGAATGGGGCAGTTTTTGTAAAATGCTTTTTAAAAGTTGAAAAAGTTGCTTAATTTATACATTGAAAATTATTTGATAACCATTTACTCTCACACTATGTGAGAGTTAATGGTTAAATTTACAAAAAGCTCAAAAATAAATTAAACTTAACTTCTCGCACCAAAACAAAAAAAATGTTTTCACCATTTCAAATGTGCTATTAGTTCCCATTTATGGAACATTTCTAATATTATGTTTGGCCCATCATATTTAGACCATGATAGGAATAATGATTTGATCTGTTAAATTGTTGTATTTAACATTTCTTACCACAGGAGTTTGGATATCTAACTAAACTTAGATGCTTGTATGTAAATTCGATTTTGTCCCATTCAATAAGCGTTAAGGTTCTCCCCAAACATTAATATTAAAATTGTTTGTTTTTCTAAATTACTTTCCTTGGGCTAAATTTTTCTATAAAATTTACTCACAATTTAAACAGTTTGATTATTCAGAGTTAAACAAAAATACATACCATAACATTTTTTGTATTTTCTTTAACATTTTTCCACCTGCTTTTATGAGGTGGAAAAATGTTAAAGAAAAATAGAAAATTTCATGTTGGAATAAGACAGGATTAGAATTATTTGGTTGTTTTTCACAGTTATTCAATAAAAGCAACAAAATAATAATTGCTAAATCAAATATAAGACAAAATAGTTTAACAAAAATACAAGACTGTAAAAAACTCTACAAAATGTAAATGGTTATCAGGTCACTAAGATAATTCTCGATTTATAAGTAGAAATTTACTTTTTACACCATATTGTGGTAAAATATAAGAATGATTTAAATAGGCTCATCAAGAAAACGATGAACTTAAATAGCATTCTATTAAACAGACAAACTTTAAAAATAGAAATTATAAATATAAATTACCAATTTACTGTTCTCCCTGTTGTCTTTTAATCTGGTTTCAAGCTCATAAAATTCCTCAAAGGACTCTATCTTTTTGAAAATGGTTATACTTACACTTTCTGACTTTTTATTGGCACATTAACCTTTTCTCATGAGTTGAAGTTATATATATAATACTAAAAATCATTTGCAAATAATAACTCATGCAAAAAATCATATTAAAAATCATCACAGTTATTTGGCTTGAAATCACTAACAAATAATGCTAGAGTAAATGGTGTCACTTTGTCAAGGATACATAATATAGGCCGAACCTGTGTGTTTGATGACTTTAAACAGGAAATGCCATCTACATTGACAACTAAAGAAATTGTGTTTGACTCAAATCTATAATGATGGTTGATTGCTAAAGTTCTTGATTTGTCATTTGAAATACCAAGGTAAACATATTTACCCCCACATTTTAACTTGCTTGGAATATTCCTAAGAGTATTTAACATTTTCCTTGTACATTTTGGTAAATTAACATTATAACTATACTATTGTAAATGGTTAACAATTCGTTACTTGGATTGCTAATTATTCTGTGTTTTAAAATCCATTTGGCAATCTCTGTAACAAGTACTCCGTTGTGAAGATCTTATCATCACTCACAGGTCAGAGATTAGAACTCTCAGTTCCAGAAGTATATTT